TTGAGACTTAAATTATTCAAATTTCTGAAATTACTCAATATTTGAATTTACGCCTAGTATTACGATCAAAATATAGAGTATGGTCATTTGTAATGCAAATATCGAACATTCATTACTACTTCGCCTGTTCATTGAATATATTCAGTGTATGCACAATGTTGACCATTTTCTCATTCTCCAGATCTCTTTTCAATGCCAGCACAATCCCGAGATTGAGCAACTCTTGAAATATAAAAGTGTGACATGTTCAACACGTTCTTTTTGAACTAATGTGTTCATAATTAATCGGAAAACAAACGCGTTGGAACATTTGCATTACTTTCAACGATTGTCCTCACGACGAGACCATAGACATGTGGACGGAAAGAAAAATCTTTCCTTCCTCAGCCTCCGTTTCCGCAAGATCCTGTGCCAACCATAATGCAGGTATTAAGTTAAAATCCGAGTTGTGTAAGCATATTCCGTTTCTCTGTTGAACTACAAGTGTCCAGTTTTTCACTGAACTCGCATAACACTTCCGGATATTCCATTTTTCTCGAATCAATGAAGTTGTGAGAATAATTTTTGGAACATCGCACTGAAAAGTAGAACTCACTCCTCCGACTATATTACACATGTGCATTCGCCTTCATTTGGTTGCTTAAATACATTCCACTGATGCAGAATTATTCGATACATCACTTATCTCTTGAAAAACGAAATCCTGTAGACCTCTTTGAGTGTTCTGCTCATATTTTGCTTGCCTTATGCGATTTTGAATGAATTAACATAAAGTAATAAATGAATTGCAAAATGCAGATGACTAACACGATGGATTTTGTTTCCTTGTTAGGGCGTTGACATGTATTTATCTGCGTATTCAGCATTTTGGTATGGTGATATTAAACGTGATGTTTATTCATTATGTACGATGCTAACGCTTTGTTGTATTTGTACTTGAAGCATTGGTTTTCTTTTGCGAATTTCATGTATGAGTTGGCGATTATGTGATAATGTAACGACTATTCTTCGTTGATATTGTAATGCTTTTGACAATGCCTTGAAATATTTTAGTTTTTCTGTGATTCTTTCATTTTTTAAATCGTTTTTGAAGTTGGTGTATGTGTGAGGTTAAAGATTTTGATGTGTTGTTTTTACCTATTAAATGAAAGAGCTCTTTAAGGGACCTCGCCTTCCGGCCACTCTCGGGTGGTTATAAGAGCTCTTTCAGGAGTGACACCCTAGCAAGCAATTGCAGATTCATTGTACGAAATATTGGCAGAAATTTAATTTGAAATTTAGCTGCCTGGCGGCGTTCGTCTTCGATGTTGACTCACTAGCGCATGCATTAGTTCAAAAGCAACCAACAAATCGCGACTGTCCTGTAATTGGACGCTATTCGATCCTGCTTGAATCAGTGGGCTGCGTCCAGAAGTATAGGAAGCTGTTCACGTGGCCTGTAGCCTCAGTCTACGAACTGTCAAGGTGAGTTGGCTAACTTACCGTGATATCATGATTGTTCTTTATAACCATCTTAAAAAAACAACAGCATTCATTTACGAACACGAATATTTCGATTCGTTTCTGTTAATTCCACAAGCATATAGCTGTCAACACATGCAAAAACAAACTTATTTAGAGTTGAGCTCGGGTATATTTATTATCTCAATACGTTTATTGGCATATCTATATCAATGGCTTCTGAAATAATTGTCGATGATCATTTTCGAGATGTACGAACAAATCGCGAACGATCCAGCCATGTGCAGCAATAGAACAAACGCGCGAAGTCGCCTGTTCTGCAGTAAACGGATACAATCAGAGAACGCTTAATGTAAGTCAAGAATATCAAATTTGGATATTTACGACTTCATTTATTTATTTTTTGGATATTTATTTATTTATTTTTTTGGATATTTATATTTATAATTTGGACGTTTATCTTTTTAAATTTAGAATTTGGATATTTAGAACTTCAACTAAAACTAAAAGAAGTATTCACAACTTACACAAACAATATTAACCGTACGACTGGGATGTCGTTCATTCGTCGGAACCTTCGAATATATTAAAGCTGTAGATTCGGCATCTGAAAATATATCAGAATTTCAAAAAATTTCTGGAAAGTTTTGTCTGCAACGAAATATTCACTGCAAACAAACTGCCCGTCCACTTCGAAAAATCATAGCTTCTCTCAATAACCTCCCAATACGAATGACTCTGACGGCAAAATGAAGCACTCGTACCTCTGCGTCGTTCCTTACTCACGGTTCGTGACACTAAAATTTCCAGTATGATCGATACGCCTGTGAAATGAACCAAATATAAGCCCATCCAGAAATTCGGTAACTTCCCATAGTGCTTCGCAAGTGCAGTTTTGCCGAGCGGAATCGACGAGATCATTGCTACGGCTGAAGTGGAAGAAGGTTTGAGAAATTATTATTTCTTCTTCAATTTAAAAATATGAGAAAGTCTTTTTTTTAAAATTTTTTTTCTTAAAGTTTCATCCAAAACCTTCACCGAGTGAGCTAATCTGCGTCGAAAATATTGAAAAGTATCTTCAGTATCTGAAAATTATCCAACGGAAAACTGCAATACAAAATCTGATCTCATAATTACGGTGTAATTATCTTTCAGCGTGTGACAAAGATCAGAAATTTGATTGGTTGCGCGTTGTTCAAGTAACAATAAATACATTCATCATAAATGAAAGTATCGAATTTAGTTCAGATGAAGAAAATGCAAACGCACAGGCGACAACAAACGATGTCATTCCAACAAGCCAGTGCAAAACGTTGAAAGCATGTCGCCAGTTGGATATCGGACTCGGCCGTATCGTCGCAAAAAATGGTTGCAGCAAAGCGAGTGAAATAGCAATCAACCCACTCCAGGTATGTTTTGGTACCGAGAAATGCTAAAGTATCTTTTATCCTTTAAAAAGTCTTTGTGCTAGACTCAGCGCAATAAAGTGACGACTTGAACGCATGCATGAGAGTGTATTCATCAATTATTATTCCATACTATTCATTTATTATTGTTTTGATTACTTTATATTTAATTNTTATTATTTTGTTATCAATTATCTTGATTAATTATTACTATTATTATTCATACTATTCAATTTTATTTTAATTTCAATTATTATTTCATCAGTTCCATCAACTAATATTTGAATGAGACGATTGATTACTACGTTGGCTTTGGATATATTACGAACTNAGCCATTACAGAGGCCTGATAGAATTATTTTAAGAACTCATTGTAACACGCTTTCACCATCTACGGATAGAAATCAGATTACGATGGTCTCACGGCCACAATATCACTGAAAGGATTGAAAAAAAAGGTCGTAGAGTAGATATTTATCGTGAAATGATTAACTAAACCTTATAATCTAACGTATAAACATGACGACTGAGTAGAATTGACCAGAAAATTTGATCGGTTGATTAAGCAAGTGAAAATTTTCAACTTCGCTCACCTCCATTGTACACTGCATTGTACACCAAAAGTGAAATGAAAATCCGGCTTGCGTTATGACGAATAAGAACGCAACAATTTGTAGCGCAATGGATGCAATCATGAAACTTCGATGAAACTGAAATAGAACAGCTATTCGACAAAACTTCGATGAAACTGAAATAGAACAGCTATTCGACAAAACTTCGAAACTATTCATTCGCTTCAATTGTTAAGTTCCACAGAGTGATCGTCTCCATTCATAATTCTTCCATGCATATGAATTCAGTGTTGCTCTGCGACTCGCAGAATGTGTGTTTATGGATTTGTGTGTGCATGATCGTGGATATTATTTGGGATTTTTGAAAGAATGCGCACTCACTTGGAACCACACAGCGGCACCGCAAAGTTTCGTCGATGGCCATGCGATCTTACAGTATCGTGCCATCAAAATCGCATTCGAAACGAGGAACCACCAAGCCCAAAGCATTATCAAACCTGAATCATCAGTCAGAAACACTACACGAATACCTTTTATCATACTATGGATGCTGCCTCAATTCACATGATCGACCTCGATGATCTTCAAAGATTTTTGCATGACATTCAGAATTTTATGAATTCTAATACCTTTTTGACTGACTTTCCAATGATTTAAATGGACCATTTCAATGATTTTCAGTGATTTCAATAATTTTTCAACTATTTCAATGTTTCAATGTGACCACTAAACATTGAAATAATACGATTGAAGGCTTCTCGCAATTGGTTAAGTGGAGCATACCATGGAGTGTTACGAGAACGTATGTAAGATTCCTCGATATATGTGTAACCGATTGCGTTGCTTCGTTAACGATATAGTAGCCATTTGCTGAGGTTTTTTGCAACGAAACTGCCTCGGAAGAGGTCCACGGAAACAGGGGTCCATCCCACAGCGAGTGCTTCTTCTTAGCAAAAGCTCAAATTTCAAAATTAGGGGTGTTGGAATGGTTTTTGAAGTATTCTGCATTAATAACAACAGTAGTAATGATGATCTGCTATCACATTTTTGATGTTGCACAGCTAGGAAATTTTAAAGTAGAAACGAGGAAATTATTATGGAATTTTCTAAAACTGTTATGAAAACTCACTGTAGGGGTCAGCATATCCAAGAGCTAGTTGTAAGTAGAACGGTGCTGATGTCACATCTGAGGTCTTAAATCAGATAGCATATACGAAATGAAGAATTGCAAATGCATTGAAGAGATGCAAAAAAAACTGTATTATCATAAAGCAACGAGTAATTATCAATGACGGTTGTTTGTGTGTAAAGAATTATTTCAGAACTATTTGTGTGTACAGAATTTCAACAAGNTTCCCAACATTTCAGCTGCGTTACGTTATGATAATAGCAATATAGATTTGATATGAGACTGATTGTTTTGTTCAGTTTGGCATCATTTAATTGCATTTTCTCTCTTTGTAATGCATGAATTTATTTGTGATGTCACAGAGGCAATTCATGCCCTGTCCATTATGAATGCATAAATGTCCAATGTTTGATAAGCGAGATGGATGCTTGTAACCTTCAGTTGGTCGATGGCGCTAAGAAGTTCACGTCTCTCGAAATCCAGTTCGATTTCACAAGAAAAGTAATCATCAATGATCGACGAATTTGCATCCGTGATCAGCTCTTCACTTGCCTGTAAAAATGTTTTTTTGTCACTTTCGTGGAGACACCAAAGTAACATGATTATCAAAAAGCTTTCGCACAGGACTCCAATCACCTCGTTCATTTCATAACGAACGAGATTTCGATTCGAAGTTATCCGATTCGCCGACATTTAAAATATTTACCGCATGTAATTGGGCATTGTGAAGACCGTCATTGTACGAAATGAACGGACGTACATCTCCCCGTCCATTATACACGCATTCAATCACCATATCTTCACCCTGAATTTTCAATCATTCTAATTCGCGCATCCAGATGAAACTTCAATAAAATATCACGTTTTGCGCCAGCATACTACAGCTTGTTAAACTACGCGTTAACATACTGTAATAGCCCACTACGCGTTACTGTAGCGCACCGTAACCAATAGTTCTTGATATCCAATGCAGTGCACTGCTTAAGAGCAGCTGGAAAATCGCTCAGAGCCTAGATCAGATGTTCTATTTAAATGCGCTTGAGATGTTCGGTCGTTTTGAAAAACTGACTGACTGACCATTCTTCGGTCATTCGAAAAGCCAACTGCTACATAAGTGCCCAAGATGTTATTGGTTTGATTGAGCAGCAGTTGGACGGATGCTTCCAAGTATAAGCTCAGCAGAGTATTATTGCTGATAGACCATCGAACTGATGCAATACATTCGTTATCAGCACAGCCCATTGGTATAAACCTGACGAAAAGTTTTTTATTTATTTTTTATTCGAACAACAAACAGTGAATGCTTGAGAATAACATCGATCGATCGACATTATTCGAAACTTTCATTTTCATTTTCGAAACGTTTCAGAACGGAATCTTATATGGAAGTAGTTAATCAGTTTTGCCGGATCATTATGAGATTAAACTTTTCAAAAATGTGGCACTCATCCTGGCAGATCTGTGATTGATTTGCAGATCCGATCAGTCAAAATGAATCAGTCCTGCTTTATTGCTTTAATGAAATTTCAGTGGTTGTGGCGTATAAATATAAGAAGTTCGAATCGATCTCAATGCGGTCAGATATGGAATTCTGAGGAAACATTCAATGAGTGGTTTCAAGCAACAAACAAATTAGGTGAGGATTTAACGAACCAACATCCATAGTCAACGCCACAACGCGGCTGCAGATCATCATCATTGTGGCCAGTGCATGGCGACACAATCAGCCACTGAAACAGATACAGATATACTCACCGGAGATAGAAGAAACATTCTCGCAGTCGAATTTTCAGATGGATTTCAGTCATTGAATTTTCATCTGTGCTTCTGTCTCAAGCAAACAGCTGTTGAAACAAATACCCTTTCAAAATGAGAATATCCTCAAAATCATAATTGACTTCGAATTAATATTAGGCTTAAAGCTATTGAGCTTTCTGTTAAAGAATCGTGATGTGTATAGTATGGCTTGCGTTCGATCCGGCAAAAAAAAAAACTGAAAATTAANNNTTTTTTACAATTTTGCAGTCAACAATGAGTGATCAGTTCATTCAGAATTAGTGTGTTGTGGGAACGGAAAAAGTCAGAGACGGGGATAGTGTGGGACGAAATTTTACACTCAGCTTGAAAAAAGCCGTGGACAGGGATCAGCTCCCGAAAATTGCTGGATCTCCGCAACACACTAGTCAGAATAACATACCGCTGTTACAAATATCCAGCAATATTGATAGAACAATATCGCCATAACGGCTCTCCACTGCAGGTCGGCTACTTCTGTGAAAGTAAGCGATCGAATTCCTGAAAACGAAAATCCTATCTTGAACCCCTGACGGAACCGGAGAATCACCAAGTCAATTGTATCCGACAGATTATTTCAAACAGACAGTCATAATCATAATAGAACGAAATGATGCAACAGGACGAAACCATTGATTTGCAGATCAAATGGATCACTGTTCGATTATGAAGAACACGATGAAGTTTGCACGGAGAGGATAAAATCTGAGAGAAACTACATTTGTGCATATGTAGTTGCCAGCTGTTATGTTCTGGTACAACCTCAAGTCAGACAAAACTTGCTTGTAAAAGATTCATGAGTATCGCTGCACTGGAAGACACTGAAATTTTTCATGTCTCAGTGTGTTCTGTCGTGTTTTGTGTGTTCTTTTCAGAGTGTTTAACAATGTGAATGGGAAATGGTTTGCGTTCACTCGAATTGTTCAGTGATTATTCAACTGAAACACTTGAGAAGTATTATTTGAAGTGTGGTATCGCTAATTGCGACTGGGATGAGCCAGCTATTAACATGAATAAATATAGCTGATATGAAAGTCAACTGTGAACACTCGTTGCAGACATCGCTGACAAAAACCATCTATTTTTAAGAATTCTCATTTTTCTTTGGTTCTTGTTGATGTTATCTTAACTGTGAATGAGCTCAACTGTTGGAAGCATCGTGCAATTTTGCACAACCAATTGAGCATCTATATTTTATTCTTCGTTCTCATTTTACCATAAAAATGAACGAAAAATGATCGAAAAGAGCAAATATATACGAAAAGATCTTTTATATTGCTCAACTGATGTTCACTTGAGTAGGAAAATAAGCTTAAGGAGAATACCAAGGTATTGGGTGTTACAAAGAGCACGAATGAGATTAGATAAAATACATAGATAAGGTTAAGCATTGTGATGATGACAAAAACAGATATTTGAAGGGCATTAATGTGACATGTTTGCCTTTATGGCTACAAGTGGAGTAATTATTATACGTAGTTCAGACGAGTTTTAATATGCAACTTGAATTTACACATGCAAACTGAACTTTGTGTTTATTTGTTTGGTTAGAAAAAGAGTTCAGCTCATTCAAAAATGACATCGATAGAAGAGGTAAAGAGTGTCGATAATATCGTCTTAAATTCATTCTTCACTTAGT